GCTTTCCTGGAAGCTCATGCTTTGCCCCTTTTCCTCACCTTGGCTGTAACAAACTCACCTCTGGCCCCATCCCATCTGCTCTCAAAGCCCGGGACGCTCCCATCCCCTGCCTCTCGCATCCGATCTCCTCTGCAGCGCCCAGGCATCACCCCAAGAACGAGGCAGGTTACGCACAGCCCAGCTTCATTTTCCCTTTTTAGGTCTGATGGGGTTTTCCCCTCCTCGCAAGAAATAGTTTAACGCTTTCCAGAGCTTCTGCTAATGCCTCCTTTCCTCCTCCTGCCCGTTTGTGACACCCTTTGGGGACTGTCACATCCTTCCTGGCAGGATGCAGCCAGAGGGGCAGAGAGGAGGAGGAGGGCAGGGGTGGCAGAGCCAGGGGAGCTCGGCAGGGTCACCCCCTTGCTCTGTGGGGTGGTCCCAGCCTCACGGCTCCTTCAGGGCCAGGGTGAAGGGCAACCCTCTCACCGCCTCCCGGTGTGTGCCCGCTGCCAGGCGCCGCGGCTCCCGCCCAAGGCAGGGCAGTCCCACGCGGAAGTCAGGGCGCTGCTGGGTGCACATGAGACCTCGGGGGACGGAGACGGGGCAGGACACCGTGCTCGGCCAGGAGCCCCGCCAGCCCCGCAGCCCGTCCCGCCGGCAGCTGCATCCCCCATCGCCGGCCCCACGGAGACCTGCCCGGGGCAGCCGAGGGAGCCGGGGGGGTGAGGGAGGCTCCGCGCTTCACCATGCAGGTAGGAGACAGAAACTGCCCACCTGCTCCCCAGAAGCTGCTTTTCAGCGCCTCTGGGCCACCTGCGGCTTGGGGACGGGGGTCACTCTGCGCTCTGATCTCTGCTGCTCACCTGCTTTCAGCCTCTAAACCCCTCGAAACACACCGCAAAGCTCCAGTCCCTCTTCCCAGCCAGCAATCTCCTGCTGGTGGTGGGGAGAGCGGGGTGCGCTGGGGGCTCTGCCCATCCTGAACTGGGAGCCCGGTAGAGCAGAGCCCAGGACCATCGGGCTGGGGGGGACATGCGTGGCCCCAGGGGTGGGTACCGGGGTTCAGAGGGGCCAGAGCACGGATCAGAGAGGGATGGTTTGGTTTAGAGCGAGACCAGGTCTTTCTCTTGTGTAAACCCACCACAAACAGCAGTGGAGGTGACAGCCCCAGGTCTTCCAGGAGTACCTGGAATAAAGCAAAGGGAGAGGGGAGCTGAGAAATATCATTTCTCCAGCTTGAAAGAGAAAAAAAAAAAAGAGTTTTCTTTTACTCAAAAAATGCCAGGGAAACTCTCTAGATTGGGGCAACAATAAATGCACAGGTGTGCTACCTGCCTGTTCAATTACAGATTGTCACATTTCTTGGGAAACTCTGAGGTAAGGTTTAAGTGCTCTAAGGGAAGCGCTTGTAAGAAGCATCCCGAGATAAGAGCAATTTGCTCATCTCAGTGTGGGTGACAGGAACCACCCAAGCCCTCCCCGATCCATGACTGGAAAGGAAAACAAGGATGCCAGATCCTGTCCAGGTCCTTTGCCTGAGTTCCTCACGCAGTGACTGCAGCCCCAGCCTGTCACCGTCTCTAAAGGACCCGGTACCCTCGCTCTGGGGGTCCCTGCCCTGCGACAAGGGGACAAGGACCCACTGAATCCAGCCACGCTTTAGGGCACACAATCCCTTTCTGGCACTGAAATTCCTGCTTCTCACTGTGCAGGTTACTCCTCCTACACCTTTGCCCAGTGGGTCTCCAGTGGCAGGGCAGGAAAGAGCGAAACGGGCACCGTCCTCCTCGATAGCAGGGATTAGAGTCCAGGGTTTACACAAGGGCTCTGGAGCTGAGGTGGCTTCTCCTGCGCGGGGCTGACTGGGTGCCCTGTGCCGCATCGTCCCACCGCATCGCTCGTCCCCCGGGACACAAGGAATAGGTGTGGCAGTGCCAGTGATGCCAGTTCCCTGCACCGTCCCTGCCAACAAGCCACATCTGGCCCCAAAAGCAGGCTGGGCTCCCGGGAGAGAGCCCCAGTAGCCAAGGCTGCTGTAAAGCAGCCCCTGCCTGGCAAGGATGCTGCAGCCATCGTGCTCCCCTCCCGGGGGGTTTGCTCACCCCCTCTGCTGCCCAGGGCAGTTTGTAGCTGTCACTGCCGGGGATAATCTGAGAGTAATTGGCAAATTTCCCCCCGTTGTGCAGTCCCGCACAGAGGCACCGGCGGTGCCCACAGCGGGTACCAGGGTAAATCCCGTTGCTATGGGAACAGGGAGAAAAGCCGGACCCCGCTCCCACCCCATCCTTGTTGCCTAGAGCCGCCGTACAGGGCGGCCTGGGGAGCACCCCCACCCCCTCTTAGGGTTTAACTGGAAAACTAAACAGCAACGACTCCCTCACAGGATTAGAATCGGTGCTTGCTATTTCGGGAGCAGGGAGAAGCAGGGGCAGGATCTGGCTGTGTCAGGTCAGAGGGACCGGCAGTGTTCCGACCGGGAATGCTGGTGGAGGAAGGATGCTCTGCTGAAGCTCTGCAGGCTCAGCCCTATGCCCTCCCCATGGGGAGGGACAGGCAGGGGCTGGTAGCACCAGCAGGGATCTGGGGAGGAAGGTTTCCGATGCTGCAGACCCCCAGCCCGGCTACGCAGCCCAAGCCCCATGGCTGGATACGTCCCATTTGTGAGCCTGCCTTGGAAATGCCATCAGCTGCTTCCCCAGGAGACGCATGTTCTGGCCAGGACACTTTGGTTTGTGACCAGGGGACCGTGGCTGCAGCCAGCAGGGCTGGGAGCCACCTGGAGACAGATGCTGGGATGCTACTGGATCCGTTCACCACCTCCTGAGCACTGCTGGGGGGTCAACACCAGCAGGACACTGTGTTGAGGTGCATCTAGGAACTCCTTGAGACCCCCGGTCCCCGTGGCAGGGACACAGGCAGAGCTGGGAGGTGGCAGCCCTGGCAGCCCATCTGAGAAACCAGCCCGGCAGGAACAGGACACGGGGACCTGCGGAGAGGTGGTGCCAGACTAGGTCTGTGCCAGCATCAGCCGGGGGGCAGAGACTCCTCCTCCCACCCCTGTGCCCCGAGATGGGCTCTTGGCCAGGGACAGGGAGAGGTGCTCACCCTCCTGGGGACACCAACCCGAGCCGAAGCCCAGTTCTCCCACCCCAAAGCCTGCTCAGAGCTTTGGGGGAGCAGACGACAGCACCATAACCCCCCCTCTGCGTCCTGACCTGAGAGGGGGTACCTTTTAGCAGCGAGAAGGCCCGGTTCTTATTGCAGCAGCACCTTCTGGGGAGAACATCCCTCTCCTCGAGCCTCCTCCTTCGCCTTTCCGTCCATCACTCTCCTCCCGGCTCCCACTTTGGGCGAAGCCAGGCCCCAGCTCCACGTGAGAGAGGATTTGGCAGAGGGTTTCAGCCCTTTCCCCATCCCCGTCTCTCCTGCTCCCATGGCCTCATTCTTCAGCCAGAGCCTGGCACCCAGATCTTACGACAGGGCACGGTTGCACCACCGTGGCTCTGCCCCCAAGATTGCAGCCGGAGGAACTCGTCTGGCCAGGCACCGCTTTGGCTCCTCGGTGGCAATTCTGATGATGTCCCTGTCCCCTGGCAGCTCCTTCCCGCTTCTGTGCAGCTTCACCATGCCCTGGGGACAGGAGACATAACTGTTTGTGGGGCTGCGCCGTCAGTCACATCAGAGAAATGCAGAAAAGCCCCCAAAATGCCATTTTTAAGACAGGATTCATTCCTTGCCCCTGTCATGGAGCACGTCATTGTCAAACTCACCACATTCACCGGGACCTGAAGCCTGGCTCTTGCTGAGCTGCTGAAAGACAGGTCGGACTAATCCCCTCTTGCCCAAGAGAGAGCTGTGGCTGCAAGACCAGGCTGAGATGGCACCAGGGAAGCCAGGGACAAAGTGGTTTGAGGCTGATGAGCTCCAGTCCCGGGCACCCACCAGGTCCAGGCCACCCAAAGGTGCTCACTGTGGCATCCTATGGGATACCCTGGGCTGGGAAATCACCCTGGGCAGAGGCCACCCCAGGGATGCTCGCTGCGTCGTCCTTTGGGACACCCTAGGATGGGAAATGATCATCCTGCGCCGAGGGCAGCTGCCACGGGGCCACCTTATTTCCTCCACGCACTCCCAGAGCCACACCACTCGGGTGTCTGAGCATAATTAGACTTAAATAGTGAAGGTGACCCATGGTACTCGGCCCTGCGCAGCCCCTGTCCTCGGAGCCGGTGGCACACGGGGGGGAGCCGGGCAGAAGCCAAACACCAGCAGCTCCTCTTCCCCGCTCTGTCCCTTGGCCACGGGCCGAGGCACCCGGGGTGTTCAGGTTCCTCACCTGCGTGGCTGCAGGGCTGCACAAGCCCCCGACAGCCCGTGCCCCGCTCTCCCTTCGCTGGAATTCGGAACTCCCTTCCCCGCGGTGCCCGGTCTGACAGGAACAGCTGAAGAGGGGGAAAGGCTGACGAAAGGCTGTAAAAACCACCGTAGCGTGGAGCGAGAGCGGCTGCTCTCCCAGCACAAACGTCAGGGCATGGGAAGAAACAAGGAGGAGCGAACCCCAGGGCAGAGGGAGGGGAGGGTTTTTCCCTCCTGCCTGGCTCCCTCGGGACCCCAGGAGGCCACAGGCGCTGGGCACCTCGAGTTCCAGGAGGTGCAGGCTCTCACAGAGCAGCAGTCCCTTGGGGACCCTGAACACGGAGCTATATTTGGCTGAGGAAGACCCCAAACAGGAGAGGGGAGAGCACGGGAGGAGGTTTAGGGGGAGCCTGGCCGTGCCCCCATCCCTGGGCACCCCATGGTGGGTGCCGGCCAGAGAACGGGGCTGGGTGGCTCCGGGGCACATGTGGAAATGCCCTTTTATCGAATGGACTCTGTCTGCTTCTGATGTGCTGGGGGTGGGAGCGATGGCACAGCCAGGGACCCCTGAAAGCCGGGGGGGCTTTGCCGAGGGGCAGGTTTCCATGTGCCCACACGTACTCCAGGGCAGCCTGGTCCCGGTGTCCCCGGCAGGCGCTGGTCCAGGGCAGCCCAACACTGTCCAAACCCCCTGTAGGCAGAGGTTTGCTCCATGCCCGGTGGAGGATCTCCCAGAGACCCCGCTGAAGCCTTCAGCCCTTTTCTCTCCTGCAGGATGAAATTCCGTTGACCCCCTGGAGGCGTTTTCCCTTGGAAGACTCTGCTTTTATCCCCCAGGTAAACTTCGCCCCCGCTGCACTCCCAGCCAGCTCAGCCCAGCTCAAAGAGGGCAGTGGGGCAGCACCAAGGCAGCAGCTGCCTCAGTTTCCCCATCCCCGCTCTCCCACCCACTCCCAGTTCCCAGGGACCCTCTACACAGTCACGATGAAGGTCCAAACCTGGAGCCGAGAGAGTGAGCTCTGGGCTTGCCACCCCCACACACCCCGGGTATTTTCTGTGGGCAGGATGAAGACAAGTGGGACTTTGTGCTGGTGAGTGACTTCCATGAGGTGGGCAGCGAGAAGGAGACCAAGAGGAGGAAGTTCCTGGACGAGCTGAGCAAGAAGGGGTTCATCATCAAGGTGAGGGGCTGCAGGAGGGAAAGGCAGCGGGTGCTTGGCTCTTGTGGTGCCTGTTCTGAGCCCAGTTTGGGCTCCTGCACCCCAGGAGATGGGAGAGACCCAGAACATTGACCCCATCTCTACATCAGTGCTGAAAAATTAATGGGGGACCAAAAATTAATAGTCATAACCCCTGGACCTCACAGCTCTGCCCCTTCCCTGCCCCGCTGCTATCGTTCTAACAGCCCTTCTCTTCCACCCACTAGAAAATTGAGGATGAGAAGCTGTTTCACGGGGTCCGTGCCCCAAAACAGATTTTCCGCAAATACCAGCAGCTCCTGTGGAACCCTGATAACCCCGGCAGCAGGCCCGATGCCCGCTGTGACGTACCAGAGACCACCAGGTGGGTGCTGAGCTGGGCTACTGACTCCCAGCACCTTGGGCTCCCCTTCCTCCGCCCCAGCATCCGTTCCCCAGCCCAGCTCACGGTTCTGCCAGGCTTTTCATTCCCACCTCCACCTGCAAAGCTGCTGGCTCCTCCCCATCCCCAGCAGCTCCCCATCCCTGCCCTGGATTCTGGTGCACACCTCAGAGTCACAGAATGGTTTGGGTGGGAAGGGACCGTAAAGGCCCCCCAGTGCCACCCCCTGCCCTGGGCAGGGACACCTCCCACCACACCAGGTTGCTCCAACCTGCCCTTGAACCCCTCCAGGGATGGGGCAGCCACAGCTTCTCTGGGCAACCTGGGCCAGGCTCTCACCACCCTCACACCAAACAAGTTCTTCCCCACAGCTCAGCTCCATCTCCCCTCTTTCAGGGTCAAACCCTTCCCCCTCCTCCCATGACTCCCCTCCCTCATCCAGTCCCTCCCCAGCTTTCCTGGAGCCCCTTGAGGGACTGGAAGGGGCTGGAAGGTCTCCCCGGAGCCTTCTCTTCTCCAGGCTGAACCCCCCCAACTCTCTCAGCCCCCTCTCCCAGCAGAGGGGCTCCAGCCCTCCCAGCATCTCCAGGACCCTTCTCCCTGCCCTCCCCCGTTTTCCAGGGCCACACAAACCTGGTCTGTAGCCCCAGAGACTCCTTTAACCACAGTTTCTCCTTGCTCAGGATACGGATTGTGCACTTTATCCTGCACCACACGACGACGCCTGACTTTGGTAAGGGATGGGGGCCAGCAGGGGGATGCTCAGCCTGGACCGTGGTGGGCACGGACACCCCCAGTCACTCAGCCCCCCAGGAGGGGGCAGAGCCAGGGGGCAGCTCACACAAGGAAATTTGCTGCTTCTTCCAGAGGCTGGGAGGTTTGGGCTGCAGGAACCAGCAATAGCCCTCTCTCCCCAAGCCCCCCACCCAGCTCTCCTGGGCCCCCAGAGGAGCCCGTCCCTCCCCGACACCCCGGGAGCAGCGGGGCAGCACCGGTGCAGGCTTTTGGCTGCCTCCCTGGACCCGGGGACCTGGCTGGCTCCCAGAGCCAGGCACAGGCAGCCCGCGGCACCCGGCACAACCGCAGGGATTAACGCTGATCCCTTTGAACAACTCACCCTCTCCCGGGCGGGGCTTTTTTTTGTTTGTTTGTTTCCCCCCCCCAAAGGCTCCAGAAAAAGTTTGGGATGACTCTGCCCGGCAGGGAGCACCTGGGGAGAGAGCAGAGGTTCACTAACCTTCTCTGTTCCACTCCACCACCAGAGATGCTGCGGGATCTGATGAAGAAGAAGGTCTTTGAGGCAGCGTTTCCCCTGCACAAGGTGAGGCCGGGGACACGGGTGCCCAGGAGGAAAAACCACGAGAGGTGGAGGAGCAAGACTGGGTGTGGGAGACCTTTGGGTGACTGGGGCTGCATGGAGACCTCTCTGAGTGGGGGGCAGGACGGAGGTCCCGGGAGCTGGGGTGGGGGTTAGGGCTGCCCCGTCATCCCCGTACCCGACCGACTGCTCTGCTCTCCAGAAAGAAGAGGCAACGGATTTCCTCAAGGAGAAATGGGCTCGCTGGAGAAACATATTTCGCAAACAGCCCATTGAGAAGATCAGGTAAGATGGACAGAAGAGGCAGGGCAGGTCCCTCTCACCAAGACATCCCACCTGAAACCCGGGGAGCTCCATGCCCTTTGCCAGGACCCTGTGTTTTCTTTGAAATCATTAGTTTGAACCCAGCTCCTCTCACCAGTCTGGGGCTGCTTCTGCAGTCCTTAGCCCGAGGGTTGTCCCTGCGGCACCGAGCTCCTTCTGCTAATCCCGCAGCAGGGAACAACCCCCACATCCCTGTGGGTTTTAATGAGCCCCCCTCGTTTCCAACTGCACGCTCCCACCTGCAGAAGGAAGGGGAGGGGGGACGGAGCCTCCGGCCCAGGGCTGAGCTCGGGGCGCTGAGGGCAACCAGGGGCTCCAATAACCACAGAACGACCCGGGAAAGAGCACGGCTCTTGTGATAAAAGGGGAAGAAAACGAAGCCTCGCAGTCAAGGGAAGGAGAACGTGCTGCTCCATGAAGTCGCTGGGCTCTCAGGGAGATGAAATGTTAGAACAGAGATGTGCTCCCTTCCTCAAACGCTTGTTACAGCCTCCGAGCCCGGCAGAGGCACCGGGGGCTCCCCAGGGCAGGCAGCTCCTGGTTCTCAGTCCGTGCATGGTGACTCCTTGCTGTCTCGCAAGGATTAAGGGGCCAAGTGTGAAATCTGGAGGAGGGACAGACTGCTGGGGCTTTTGTTTGCTTTAAGCAAAGACCAGGGAGCACATCGGTACCTCTGGCTGCTGGAGGGATGTTAATTCCTCTGGAATACGGGAGGGGAGGCAGGTCCATCAGTCAGATCCCACCCACGTCCCCAGCCCTCTTCCCCACCCCAGGAACCCCAAGATGCTGCCACCGCCAGAGCAGGAGGTGAAAGCCCTGCAGGGTGGGAGCTGAGCCCCGAAGGAGAAATTGCTCTGGTCTGAGAAACACCGGACCCCACAGCCCCCTCATCTCCTTCAGCCCTGGCGTTCCTACGATTGCTCTGCAGGCTCCAACTGCAACTCTGTCTCTCGGCCATTCCCACCCCTCTGACCTCCCCATGGAGGTGGGCACCAGCGAGAGGGGCTCTCCCTGTGGCCTATTAGCCAAGGGGGGAGAAAAAAGATTTTGAAAAAATTGAAAAAAAAGAAAATCTTAGTCACCAGGCTGACTGAGAGCAGGACCTCAGGACCTGCAGGACCCCACACAGTGCAGACGCCGCCAGTCCCCACCACAGCCTCCTGTTGCCCTCCATCCCCAGACACACAGACAGCCCGGCCGCTCCTGGACCTGACACCCTGTTGGGGCTGGAAGAGCATTTTCTGGTGACTCCTAATGACGTGGTGCCTTCTCTGGCCCCAAACCACACCTCGCCTTCCCTTCCAGGAGCTATTTCGGTGAGAAGGTGGCCCTGTACTTCGCCTGGCTGGGCTGGTACACCTGCCTGCTGGGAGTCGCCGCGGTGGTGGGGCTGGTCACCTTTGTGGCTGGCATCACCATCTTCAGCTCCAGCCAGGTGAGGTAAGGCAGTGGGGAAAGCTGAAGGCGCGGCCCCTCCAGGAGCCTTCACCCCTGACGCGGCCCTGAGCCACCATCATCCCCCTTCACTTCCCTCCACCCCTTTCTCTTCAGCAAGGAGATCTGCGAAGCCACCGACACCCTCATGTGCCCACTCTGTGACCAGAAGTGCCCCTTCTGGCTCCTCTCTGACACCTGCACCTACGCCAAGGTGGGCACCCCCCTCCCAGGACGGGGACACGCTCCTCTGCTGGTCCCACACCCCTAGAGAGAAAAGCCACCCCAGAAAAGCAGTGACCATCACTGGAAACCTCCACTAACTCTGCAGCCAGATCCTGAACTCCATTCCCACCACAGAAAAGTTAGAAACACAGAATTGTTTAGCCTGGAAAAGACCTTTAATAGCCTAAAGTCCAACCATTAACGAGTTTACCCCTAACAAGCCCCAGTGCCCATCCCTTTCCTGCAGCATTGTTACCTGTCTTGGGTGGGGGGGAGGACCGGGGTAGGGGGAGGACCACTGAGCCCAGGGACCTCTCCCCAGACCCCACGTGCCACAGCCCATGCACCCTGCTGTCCCCATCACCCTCTTCCTTCCTCTTCTCCAGGTCACTCATATGATTGACAACGAGGGAACGGTGTTGTTTGCCATGTTCATGGCCATCTGGGGTAGGTGTCCATGTCTTGGTGCCAAACACACGAGGGAGCAGCCCATGGCGGCTCAGGGGGAAAGCAGGTGGAGGAAAATGGGACACCAACACAACTTTGCCATTTTGGAGCTTTTTAGTCCTTCTCTCCTCCACTCCCAAGGCCACCAGCTCCCCTTCCAGACAGAGCAAAGGACTAAAACACCCCAGCAATTTCCTTCAGCTCCCCAAACACTCCTTACCTGTCCCTCCTTAGAGCTTTCACCCACCACAACCTTCTGCAGAACACCAGCAGCCTCTCACTGGATTTCTCCAGCACCTGCTGACAAGTGGTCACAGCTGCAGGGAGGAGGGACCCCAGACCTCTCATGAACCTTCCCAGGTCACACAGCTGCTGTGGGATGAGCTGATGGAATCCCACCACCGTATCAGCTACAAACCCCACCACAGGTCTAGGGTGGGCATTTCATGGTGGGACCATGGTGCGAGCAGGTCACAGACACCATCTTGCACGTTGTGTGGGGTGGGTTACACAGGGACAAGCTCAAGGAGGTCAATCCAGACTAATTAAGGGGTGGCTGAATGGATTTGCAGAGGTGCAGCCGTGCTGGGGCGCAGGGCAGGATGCATCTTCCACTTGGAAGGTGTATTTCTCATGACTCCAGAGTAACATGTCTGGCGGGGGCTGTGTGGAGGTGCCCACCTCAGCAGCACAGCCCAGTGCTTATCTTGGCTTATGCCAAGCCCCCTGCAGAGGCCAGAGCTGGCCAGGCTCCCAGGGAAAGCTCACCCCACACCTCCATCCCGTCCCCGTGGGGCCCAGCACTCACTGCTGCACCTCCAGGTCCTCCCCGGTCACTGAGATGCAGAGGTGGCTGCCTGTCCTTCATGGTCAGGGGCATTCCAGGTTGATTTGCCATGAGGGACTGTCCATCCTGCTCTGTGGGACCAAGGGGTGGCTTTGCCTCCAGAGCCATCCCTGAGTGTCCCTGCACTCTCTCCTTGCCCCCACAGCCACCGTGTTCCTGGAGCTGTGGAAGAGGCAGAGAGCCACAGTGGTCACCAACTGGGACCTGTACAAGTGGGATGAAGAAGAGGTGAGGATGGCATCTTCCTGGCTTGGTGCTTCCCTTCCCAGGACAGGAGCCAGCTGGACCCACAGCAAAGACACCTCACAGGGACCCCCTGGCCCAGCTTGATTCTCTGTAGATGTAGCATCTCATGGAGACACTTGAACAAACAGCAAATCCAACATCTGACCGTGCTGGGAGAGACAGAGCCCTCCAGAGCGTTAAGCAGACACTAGCCATCTCCCCACATTGCTAGTCACCTCCTCTTCTGCCCAGGGGCTGGAACTCAGTCAGGACTGGCCACACTGCTGTGGCTTGGGTGACCATCCCTGTTCTTCTCCGGTGCTGCTCATCCCTTATGTCTGTCAACATAACAACTCCTGGACTTTCTGCTGCCTGGGCACAGCTCTGACAGATCCTTTCTTTCACATTTTTTGATTTTTCTATTATTTTTTTAAGGAGGAGCTGGCTATGGAGCTGATCAACGACTCAGAGCACAAACCCCAGCAGTACCAGCACTCCTACTTCCGCAGCACCATCATCCTCCTCTTGGTTCTGGTGATGGTAGGTGCCAGGGCGGACACTGGAAGACCCAGTTCAAGGGCACATGGGTTTTCCTCCTTCCCTCCCTGCTCTGCTGCAAGAACGGCACATCAAAGGGTTCTGTGACCAGAGCAAAGGCAGGACCCAGGCTGCCAGGGCAGGTCCGTCCCCATCACAAGGATCTGGGGCCTCCCTACACTCACGGGAGAGGCCGACCACGCTTGGGGGATCTGGGTTGAGGGCTCTGCTCTCACCGTGGAAGGTGGTGAGACAGAGTGTAAGAAGCAAAGCCTTATGCCCTTGTTTCTCCCCGTGGGCCACTGGAGAGAGTCCAGACAAGTAGTTCAGGTGGAGAGGTCCACCTTATGAACCTTTCATCCTGAACTGAGCATTGCACTTGGGGCCACCCCAGGTGGGACGGAGCAGGTGCCCACCATACAGGGTTTCTCATGTCCCACTGCCCTCTTCCTCCTCCTCCACAGATCGCTGTGATCATCGGCATCGCCCATGGGCTTGTCATTTACCGGGTGGTGGCAACAGCTTTCTTCACCCAGAGTGACTTCGAGTTCCTCCGTGACCAGGCCAACACCATGGCGGTGATGACGGGGGCCGTGCTGCACTACATCACCATCGTCATCATGACCAAGGTGCGGAGTGACATGGGGCAGGCAGAGGGTCTTCTCCTTGCCTTCCCACCACCAACCCTCCCCTCTTGTTTTATATCTCCATTCTGCAGGTCAACAGGCATGTGGCCCTCTATCTCTGTGACCTGGGTAAGGGAAACGGGGGGCTGTCTCCCACCCGCACCCCAAGCTGCCCAGCAGCACCATCCTCTTGGTCCCCAAATGCAGGTCCCTTCGCTTCTTCCACCAGGTGGCTCCTGCCATGCAGGTCCCCATGGGAAGCCACCAGCCCCCCAACACACAGGCTCACCAGGGGCCCATGTGCTGCCCATCCCATAGCCACGTTATGATTTGGGGGGACAGTCACCCACCAGAGCTATGACCCGGCACAAGCAGGAGACCACCACAGCTCAGGACACCTCCCAACATGGTTCTCCCCCCAGCTGAAGGGCCCCTTCCCCCAAGTTCACAGCTCTGAGGGACCCCCCCGCACAGCTGGGCTCAGCTCCATCAGAGGGCTCAGTCAAGGGCAGGGAAGGCTCCAGGAGGGGCAGAGACACCCTTCCCAACCTTCAAAGAGCTGCTGGGGCATCTGAGAGGGAGCAGGGCAAGGTCCCACCACTCTGCGACCAAGCCCCTGAGCCTCACTCCCCCCCCCCCAGAGAAACCACGGACCTTATCCCAGCGTGAGAACAACTTCACCGTCAAGATCTTCACCTTCCAGTTCTTCACAAATTTCTCCTCACTCATCTACATCGCCTTTTTCCTGGGACGGTGAGTGGGGGCTGGGGGGGGGAGCCGAGGGGAGCCCCGGTTTGGGACACACATCCCCAACTCTCCCCAGGGTCTAGGGACATCCCAGTCCCTCTGCCCTCCCCAACAGGCACAGGGGTCCCACCTGGGACCTCAGGAGGGACACGACTTCTCCCCATGGGCATGGTGGGTGGTGGAAGCCCCTTCCTCTCCCCCGGTGCCCAGAGGACGATGCCCCATCCGTGGGGCTCAACTGCTGTTGTTGGTCCCTCACTCAGGATCAATGGCCACCCCGGGAACTACGTGCGTGTCGCTGGCAAGTGGAGGCTGGAGGAGGTGAGACACTTGCAGTGGAGCTCCCTGACCCCACACAGCTCCCGCTGCCCGGCCAGGCTCTGGGAACCTCGGCCTTCTCCTGTGGAAGCCACTGGGGCCAGCAGCCCCCAGGGCCAGCAGCCCTCAGGCCAGGTGGCCCTGCCAGCGGTGCCCAGCTCCTCCTCTCACCCCTTGACAGTGCCACCCCAGCGGCTGCATCACCGACCTCTTCATCCAGATGGCTATCATCATGGTGCTCAAGCAGACCATCAGCAATGTGGTGGAGTATCTCAGCCCGTAAGCTGCCCCCAGCCCATGGAGTGCCCCCTGGTGCCCCTTCGGGACCTCCCCAGCTCCCACAGAGTAACCCCGGGCTCCAGGCCAAGATCCCCCCCTTTGCCCTGCCTGGGGTCCCCAGGGTTGTCCCTGGCAGCGGTCACCCCCCTGTCCTCTGCGGGCAGCAGTCCCAATGGCTCACTCTTCCTCACCAGCTGGGTAACCCACAAGCTACGCCAGAAGCGGCAGCACCCCAAGAGGAGGTCAATGTCAGCAGAGGAGGAGGAGGAGGAAGAGGAGGCCTGCAGAAGGCAGTGGGTGAACAACTATCGTCTCAGCAACGTGGAATTCCTCAGCCTCTTTGACGAGTTCTTGGAGATGGGTACGTAGGGCAGGGCGTCAGAGCCATGTGTCCTCCTTGGCTGGAGACACCCTGATGCTGGGGAGCCCCTGCGTGGGCGAGGGAGAACTCTGGGACCCAGCCAGGAGAACATTCCCAAATCCAGAGAGAGCAGACAACGGTGCTGGCCCTGGGACCCTCCTCTCCTCCCAGCAGTGTCAAGGGGATGGCTGGATTCCCACCATGGTCCCTCTGCCTGGCTGGTCAACCATTGCCCGGTGGGACCCCCACAGATCCCCCTGTTAGAAGTGGGCATCCCTGGGAGATGTGGGGTTCCCAAGACAGGTCTATCTCCCCCTCTCACCCCCTCAAAGCCCCTCAGACACAAGCCACAAAGCAGGACAGACCCAGAGAGCAGCCAGGGCCCTGCAGGATGTCCCCTCTGGGGTGGCGTCACAGCAGCACGTGGCGTGTTGCTCCCGCACAGTGATCCAGTACAGCTTCACCACCATTTTCGTGGCCGCCTTCCCCCTTGCCCCGCTGCTGGCCTTCTGCAACAACCTCCTGGAGATCCGCCTGGACGCCATCAAGATGATGCGGCTGCGCCGGCGCATCGTGCCCTGGAAGGCCAACGACATCGGTGAGACAGGGCCCCAGGAGCCTCTTCACACTCTTTCCCTGGCTGAAGCCCTTGAGCAGCTCTTGGCCAGGGACCATATCACTTCATCCTGGAGGTAGGAGAGCACAGGGTTGGAGAAGGAGAAGCGATTTCAGACCCTGCAGAGGCTGAGGACCTGCTTAGAGGTCTCCTTCATAGAACCATAGAATTGCACAGGGTGGAAGGGACCTTTCAGATCATCAAGTCCAACCATCAACCCAGCACTGCCAAACCCACCACTGATCCACGTCCCTCAGCACCACATCTGCCTGGCTTTTAAATCCCTTCAGGGATGGAGACTCCACCACTGCCCTGGGCAGCCTCTTCCAAAGCTTGACAACCCTTTCAGTGGAGAAATCTTTCCCAATCTCCATCCTAAACCTCCCCTGGGGCAACTTGAGGCCGTTTCTTCTTGCCCCATCACCTGTTCCTTGGGAGAAGAGATCAACCCCCCCGGCTACACCCTCCTTTTGGGGAGCTGTAGAGAGTGAGAAGGTCTCCCCTTAGCCTCCTTTTCTCCAGGCTGAACACCCCCAGCTCCCTCAGCCGCTCCTCAGTTCTCCAGACCCTTCTCCGTGTGCTCCAGACCCCTTCCCAACTCCATTGCCCTTCTCTGGACACACTCCAGCCCCTCAATGTCTTTCACGGAGTAAAGGGTCCCTTCTCAACCTCCCTTCCTCTTCTGGCCATGACAAGCCTGTCCCCAAGCTGGGACTGGGTCTGCAGCTCTCAGATGGTGGCAGTGAGCCATCAGAGGGGCCTCACTGACCGCTTCCCCCCCACAGGAATCTGGCTGCAGGTCCTGGAGGCCATTGGCACCCTGGCTGTCATCGGGAACGGGCTGGTGATCGCCATCACCTCTGACTTCATCCCCATTCAGGTCTACAAGTACACCTACAGCCCCTGCATGACGGAGAACAGCACTGCTGTGGAGTGAGTGCCACCGCTCGGCTGTCACTGCCCTGCCTGCGGTGTCCCTGCCCACCCCGCTGCCACCGGCGCCAAAGCACAAGGCAGCAGAGTGGCCCCCCACAGTGGGGTGGGGGGAAAGGGGAGCGGGGGAAGGTTTTCCAGATGGCACCGTCCGCAGCATCCCGGCTGGCCCCCTCCTCACACCATCCCTGTGGTGGGTAAACTGGTGTCCCTGAGTGGCGAGAGCACCCTGCACTGCTGGAGAGCCACGGGACTGCCCTCCTCCTTTCCTCCCAGCCTTGGCCCACTGGCCAAGCTCAGTCAGGCTGGACAGAAGTCTCAGAGCCACCCAATTCCCCCAGGATTTGAGAAAACGGGCAGGGAGGGGAGGGGGAGCCCCGCATGGATTCTGGCTTCCCCAGGATGGGAGATGCAGTCTGTGCTCTAGTCACCAGAGAATCCACACCCCAGAGGTGAAACCACCCCACATCTTAGAAGGGAAAGCTGAAGGGAGACAGTCTTTGTGGCAATGAGGGACACTGCATCCCCTGGAAAGACACGGGAGCTGTGGCTTTTGGCAGGGGCATGCCCCAGCCCCCCAGCCCAGCCAGGAGCCACAGCCCCCGCTTTGCCACGGGACCAGTGACGCCACCGCTCCCCCCTCCCGCAGCTGCTCCACCGGCTACATCAACCACAGCCTCTCCATCTTCCGCATCAAGGACTTCGAGTCCCACACCAAGATTCCCAAAATGCTGCCGGGCCAAGAAATCACAGAGTGCAGGTAACAGCAGCCGTTGCTTGGCCCCTCACCGTGCCATCCCACCTGCCAGCCGTGGGGCAGAGCTCGGGGGTGGCCACCAGGGCTCCTCTCAGACCCCCCAGAGGGATCCTGGGCTGGCACCAAGGGGGCTGTGCCGCAGGTACCGGGACTACAGGAACGCTGATGACTACAGCTACACCGTCCAGTTCTGGCACATCTTCGCAGCCCGGCTGGCCTTCCTCATCCTCTTCGAGGTGGGCACCCGGGGGGTGGGAGGAGACGGGGCAACTGGGGGATGGACAGTGGCCAGGGGAAACAGGGAATGGGCCACCTTCACCACCACAGGGAGGTCCTCACCGTGGCAGCTGCCTTTGTCCCCCGCAGCACGCGGCCCTGTGTGTCAAACTGATCGCGGCCTGGTACGTCCCCGACGTCCCCAAGACCGTGAAGAACCAATTTCGGGACAGAAAACACAACAACCTTTACAAAGAACTGAGGTGGGTGACGTCCCGGGGAGACCTGCCCAGCTGCAGGACCCATCCCTCCACAGCCCCACTGGCCACTGCAGGCCTGGGGACGGTGGGGCTGCCGGCTCCCGCCCTCGGGGACCTTTCTCCCCCAGCTCTTACCCCAGCCTCTGCCCGGGGCCTCCAGCCAAAAACACTCATTTTAAGATGAGCGGCATCACCCATAAATGAGGGCCCATCTCCCCCCCATGCCCCACTCACTAGCCCAGGTGCTTGTAGGCACTCGAGGCCTGTGAAATGGGTCCCACCTGAGGCAATTCAATACTAGAGCCCACCAGAGGAAGGGTCTGCTGGGCTTTGCTTTTCTTTCAGAAAAAAGAAAAGCTCCAAGTTAAAACAAGGAACAATTTTTCCCAAATTTTCCATTTAAACTTTGTTTAAAAAAAAAAAAATAATCAAGTATTTGAGTGGGAAACAGAACCACTGTAGCCAAGAGCCACAGGCTGGGCCACCCTGGTGCTGCCATCCTTCATGGACCAACTCCTCTCTGCAGGAGGGCTCAGCCTGACCCTCTTCATGGCCACCCCAAATCCCGGCTCTCACCCCAAAATCCCAGGGACAGCAGAGGCGAGCGGGGCTCAGGACGCCCCACGCTGCCACAGTTCAGCTCTCAGGCTCTGGCTTCCCACTGAGGAAAGGATTTCCCACAAACAGCCTGTTGCTCTTTCTCCATTTATTTTTGGCAAAAGACCCTGTTCCCCTCCTGAATATTTTTCCACACCCCCCATTGCTCCCCAGCTTGGGCAGTCCCCCTACAGCACCCTCTCCTCTCTCCCCAGCATGATGGAGTACTCCACCGAGGTGTAGCCCCCACTCATGGAGGAAGGTGAGGAACACGGACCTGAGCCCCCCCTCCCCGGTCTGGCAGCGCCGGAGGAGCCACCGCGGCACCGGGACACGTGTCCCAGCTTGGACTTGAACTGGGAAGTGACATCGTGAGGGCAGCTTCGTGGGAGCAGGGTCCTTTCTGACGTGCACGGCGGTGAGAAGGGAGGGAGCTGCAGCAGAGCCGGGGACAGCGCGCTCCGGGGACGCCGAGGAGCCGGGCAGAGCTTTGGCACCGGGGACAGAGCGCGGTGGGCACCTGGCTGCCACGGGGCGAGCGCAGCGCTGCTCCACAGGAGATGACCTGGCTTCCTCGTCACTCACAGCCTTAACGTGCCACTCGGCATCGCAGGAAAAGCCAGTTACCTCCTCCCAGCTTCCCGCGCCAGCTCTTTTGTTGCACTTTGGCCCCTTTTTCCTCTGTCTTCAGTGACCTCCAGGCTCTCGCCCCGCTGAGAAACTCAAGTCCTTCTTCCTCTTTGTCCATGATCCTGCTCCCGGCACAGCTTCCCCGTGGCCGCAGCCCCCGCCTGCTGTCTGTGGGGCCATGGAAAGACGCCGCCGTTAGCCCGGCTGCCTCTGGCCACGGGCCCAGCCCCTGCTCTGCCCCGAGCGCTCCCAGCCCTTGTGCCCGGCTCAGCCACCACCGCAAACGGTAAATAAAGGTAACGCCCGCGCCGACACCAGCGGCCGGGTTTCAGCTGCCGTTGACTCACTGTACTCACACCGCTATCATTCCTGCCTCCCTCCTTCGCCTTCGACATCACCCAGAGAAATCATCCCCACCAAAACTTTTTAGTGTTAACGTGGATAATCAGAAAAGGCCTGAGCCGAAGCGCTCATGTGTAGCCGGAGCTCAGGGCGAGTGCGAGCACTGGGTGGTGAGACACTTAGAAGCTGAGACTCTGACCACACACAGTGGGAAAACAACCTGTTAAATGTGCTGGGGTAACAGAAACACCCAGCTGCACAGAAAACCCTGGGCCGTAAGGCTACCACGGGTTATCTCTCTCTCCAAAACACAGCCTGCCAGCCTAAATCCGAGCCCAGCCAGCCCAGCACTTCTCCCGCTCTTCCCAGAGCCCTGCAGCAGAAGGGAGCTGGGGTCACATCCAGGGCCGGGCTGGTGTCACAGCCAGCGTTGCCACTCTTCTAACATACACACAGGCATGTTGCCAGCTCTCAGCTTTGCTCTCTGCCATATGTACCTTTACCCATTTGTTTACCAACCCAAAGCAGAGTCATTTATGCTCAAGGAACAAAGTCTTTGTTCATTGCTGCCCAGGAATGATAACATGCCCTCAAACGCGTGACTCTTCCCTCAGCATCGAGTGCAGAAACCGCCCTTTGATACCCTGAGATTCCCCGCACACCTTACGCCAGGCCCACACGGCCTCACCCAGCTGCGTTTGCAAATGTGCAGGGAAAAAGCCTCTCTCTTAATTTTTCTAATTTCAACTAATGAGGGAGGCAGCAGCATGGGACAGGCAACCGCAGCTCGGTCTCCAGCTTTCTTGTGGTCCTTGTAACTCCAGGGCAAATCCACCAGAGCATTTCAAAGCTTTAAAGCCTTTTTGCTTTATAAGAACTGGAAACTTCTAATTGCTTTGAAAGCCCAGCCTCAGGCTTCTCCCTTTCATCCTCTCCTCTACAGAAAGGCAGTAGGTGCCTCCTTGTGTTGGAGGAGAGATGTGGGGATGAACTGAAGGAAACATGGCAGCCACGGGTTGAACCCATATGTGTGCAGGTGTAACAGCAGTGACAGCGACCCCGAGAACTCAGAAAGATGCAGATAAGCAAACTCAAGTACCACAGGTCACGAACAACTATCTCATTAGGGCTGATTTGTCTTGTGCTGTAATTAAAAGCCAGGCTGGCCCAAGCCCCTGCTGTGGCTAGAGCCACGCTGCTGTACAGAAGCCTGTGCAGTGATGGTTCTTCCTGTAATTAAACTGGTTCTCACTGCACAAAGCGCCGAGAGCGCTGCACGTGTCACGAGAGGCCACACCGCCTTCAGCTCCCCTGAAGGGTGCGGGCAGTCCCAGTTTAAGAGCAAAAAGCCAGTCCCACTGTGCCTCCTCGCATAGGAGCAGCGACTGTGATTAAAGGTCTCTTACCAGGTGGCACCTCACCCCGGAGCAATATTCTCATTTCTGGGACCTGGAAGCGAAGCCTGGTTTCATACTGTATCGATGGCCTTGGAACATAGCTGCCCAGCAGCTCCAAGTAGCTTAAATTTAATTAGCATCAAGCTGCTAAATGCATCAGGAATTGGCTATTAACAAGCTTACACCACACAGAAATTTTCATTCATGCCTGAGCAGCACTCCCACCTGTGGCAGGAGGCAGGATGAGGCCACAAGCCCCAGTGCAGGGTCTGAAGGCGACAGCCTCAGATGGCTGTGACTCCGCCAGGGGTGACACACCGGAGTCAGAACAGCAGAGGAAGGCACCAGGGTTAACCCAGCCTCAGAATGTCACTCCCAAGAGCGTGGAAAGCCACTAACTATCCCACAGGGAACCAAAATGAGCCATGCTTCAGCCCTCAGGCTTCTTTTGTCCCTTCCCCACTGTGACCAAAAACCACCTCCACTTCTCACTTTTAACTTACCTACCCGCAGGAACAACCCTGAAGGACAGGTTTTATCAGCTCCTGATTTGCCACCAAGTCACCCCACGCCCTTGCCATCCCCAGGATCCCTGAGACCCAGCCCTCCAATAGGGTTCCCTCTATCCCTTTCCCCCCACGACAGGTCAACAGCACCAATATTTTACATATTCACAGAATGGTTTGGGTTGGAAGGGACCTCAAAGCCCCCCCAGTGCCACCCCCTGCCCTGGGCAGGGACACCTCCCACCACACCAGGTTGCTCCAAGCCCCCTCCAACCTGCCCTTGAACCCCTCCAGGGATGGGGCAGCCACAGCTTCTCTGGCCAACCTGGGCCAGGCTCTCACCACCCTCACACCAAACAAGTTCTTCCCCACAGCTCAGCTCCATCTCCCCTCTTGCAGGGTCAAACCCTTCCCCCTCCTCCTGTGGCTCCCCTCCCTCAGCAAGAGTCCCTCCCCATCTCTCCTGGAGCCCCTTGAGGGACTGGAAGGGGCTCCAAGGTCTCCCCAGAACCTTCTCTTCTCCAGGCTGAACCCCCCCCAACTCTCTCAGCCTGTCCTCACAGCATCTCCGGGGCCTTCCGCGCTGACCCGGCCTTATTAAACCCCCGGCACCCCTGTTTCCAGGCCCGGGTGAGGCCCGGTCCTGGCAGCAGGGACTGGGGTCGGATGAGGGCAGCGCCTCCATCTTGTAGTGCCGGGGCGGGACTACAGTACCCGGCGTGCACCGCGCGGAGCCCACTTCCGGCCCGGCGGCGAACCGTTGCCAGGGAAACAGCGGGGCGACGGGCGGTGACCCCGGCCCGGGTGATTCCCCCGGGCTGCCGGAGAGGTTTTGTTAAAAAACAAAATAAAAAATAAAGGAATAATTAGGAGCACAAACACGCCGGAAAGCTGAAAGAGACCATCCCGGCCAGCTGTTCAACCGCCCAGCCTCAGTGGGGAGGCCTGACGAGGTGCCGAGACCTCTAACCCCGCTTGAGCTGGGGCCTTGCAGGAGAAAAATAGCCTCTTTTCTTCCCTTTTTGTCCCCAAACCATGTGATGACCTCACTGACAACGATATATTTGCTGCTCAGCACCTGCGGGTCAGTTTGGTGTTTCTCTCGCTGGTGGCAGCACCAGGCTGTGCCACTCCAATGGACACAGCCTGTGCCTGGGTGTGCGAGAGATCCCGTCCCCTTCTCCCTCGTTATTCCAAGCCATCACCTGCCCTTACCAGCGGCCACGGCTGGGCCTGCTTCCCTGTGGCCAGCGCCAGCCAGGGGAGCCACCCTGTGGTACCAGCTTCAACCTGCAAAGTGGCTTTTAAAATCATGGAGGAGAAGGAAAGAGATGGGAGACTCGAAGACGCCTGCGGGCACAGCCGGGTCTGCCCGGCCTCCCCCCACCTGTAACTCACCTTAATGAAGCCTGGGAGTATCGAGTTTGCCGGTGCTCAGCAAACCCTGGTCCCAAAATGCAGGCTCTGCCCAGGGCGCTGCGCTGAGCAGACACCCCCAAGCCCCCAGTGCAAGCCCCCGGCTGCTGCCAGGGCCCGGGGAGCTGGTATTACCGGTGGTGGTGGGTGCTGGGTGCGGGTTTCATCTTGCCCTGACACCTCCGTGGGCTTTTCCAGCCATGGAGAACCCGGGAATTTCCTCCTCGGCACCAGGAGCCTCGTGCAACCTTCATGTGCCCGGCTCCCTGGGGCTGCTGGCCCAGCAGGCTGGGTGGGTTGCCTTCCTTTTTTCTCCTTTTTTTTTTTTTTTCTCCTTTTCCCCTCCCCTAAAGCCAGGGTTATTTATTTATTTTTCCCCCACAGGTTCAGGTGGAGCCGGAGGTGGAGCAGCGGGAGGGAGGGACGGCCAACCCCTCCTGCAGGCCTGGCGCCCCGCCATTGGGGCGGTGGGAGTGCCCGGCGAAGGGCAGGGGCTGAACCGGGGAGGGGGGGAATAAATAAATTATTTAAAAAAGATAAAAAAGAAGCACTGATCCGGCGGGTCCAGTCGGCTGGAGCGGCGCAGGAGGGAGGCGCTGGAGGAAGCTGCAGCCGGGGCAGCCGGGGAAGCTCGGAAGGTAAATGCAGCTCTCCCTCCGCTCCCCTTTCCGCGTTGACACCGTCTGGGCCAGGGGCTGCAGGGTTTCACCCTCTCCCCCCAGCCCCCAGCCCCATGGCCCTGCTCCAGGGGGATCAGCCTGGCCATCACCCACCGCCCCACAGCACCCGTGGTGTCCCCTGCCACGCTGCACAAGCGGGGTGTCCCCAGCCCCGAGCTGTGGGGATTGGGAGGGTGCTGCTGCCCGTTAACCCGTGCTCCTCCCTCCCTGGCGGGCGGCAGCCCTGACACCCACGTTTCATGCCGCAGGGCGAAGGGGCCCTGGCCGGCTGTGCCTCTCCATGGAGCTGGGAAGGCGTTGAGGGCCTCCCTGCGCTCTCCGGCTGGCATCTTGGTTGGGCTTCCTTATTTCCAGTTATCAGAGTGAAACGATTTACAAATGACCCATCGGGGCAGGACCAAGCAGAGCTGGAGCATCCCCACCGGGCAGAGAAAGTCCCACAGCGTTCAGCATAGTGTCTCCATCCCCTTCCCTGTGCCAAAGCTGGGGGGGCTGGCTCATCTCCCTCGCTCGTTTCCATCCCCTGCTCTTCCACCAGCCACCGAGAAACCCAGTTAATACTTTAGGTTTAAATGACTTCCCAGCTGCTCAAGCTGAACGTGTGAGGAGCATCCCCGCCGTACCTTGACCCTCGGCGTCACCCCCGGCACCGGGGCTGCTCTGCCAAAGGAATACAACGTCCCTCCATCCCTGCTCTCAGCAGAGCAGTGCCACAGACACCCCCAGCCCGTCCCGTCCTGTCCCTCCAGGGACCAGCCTGGCCGCAGCAGCCCCACTGTTGCCCAAAACCAGTTGGCAATTGAGAGCGATGAAGCTCAGGGGCAAGGAGGCAGCCAAGAGCCATGTTTATCCCTCCCAGCCTCGGTGTTTACGGTCGTGCCACCTCACAGAGTCACCGGCAGCATGATGTCCTTGTTATTCCTGCATCGTCCCCAGAGGACACACCACCCGCACTGGGGGCTCTGCGGGTGTTTGGGGACGGAGGAGCCTGACCCCGACACTGGGATCTGCTTCGCCATCTGCTCCCAGCACCCCTTTCCCTGCTGCCATGTATCGGCGGGGTGTGGGGTGTCCTCCCTGCACCCCCTCTTCCCATGGGACCACTGCAGGGCCGGGGGGGGGGACTGTCCCCACACACCGGCCCCGCACTCCCCCCTGGCCCCCACACGTGACACACTACAAGAGCTCACGAGATAGGAAGCCCATGTTGCTATAAATAAACCGCCCTGCTGTTTAATTAGCAACCTCCACGGGCAGGCGGGCTGGCAGCAGCACTGCAGCCCAGATGGGGTGCTGGTAGCACAAAGGGGGTCCCACAAGCCCCCCCAGACGCAGCAGCAGGGGCATCTCACCAGGGTTTCACACTCAGCAGGTGAGCTATGGTGGTGGCTCATGTCCCCTCGCCGGCCTCTGGTTTGAGCTATTTCTAACGTCCTGCAGCCCCAGTTGGTCATTAATCACCTCCCGCCCGTAAATCCACGGTCGGGAGAGCCGGGCTGCGAGCCGGCGCTGCACGGGGAGGGCAGGTGACACGGTGGCCACCGAGCCGTGGCTGGGACAGGGCTTTGGCTTTTCGCTGGAGTGGCAGCCGCTGCCCCCCAACCCCAGTCGCCGTGGGGAGCCGCGGGGACCCCCAGGACACTCCCTGTGCCGGCCTGACCCGGAACAGCCAGCGCTCATGGAGCCATTTCTGATCTCGTGCAGGCCCAGCCCGCCCTGCGGCGGTGGCAAGTGGACTTTGTCCCCCCGGAAGCCACCGCGCCGCAGGGGCCCTCCTGCCGCCGGTGGCCCACTGGTGATGCCGACAGCCCCCCCAGACATCGCCTGAGAGCACCATGGCAGGTAGGCTGCAAAATCAAAATTTTCACCTGTTTTCAGTTGGGAAGGATCCCCCGATGGTGGGCACAGCCGGGGGTCCTGCTCGCTGCTCCAGCTTTGCCTCAACAGGTGGGCAAGGGTCCGTCCCAGCCCCCAAAACCGTCTCAGCCTGTTGCAAAACAGCCTCAAGTGCCGCTCGGTGCCAGACCCTCACAGCAGAGCTTGTTTTTCAGGGGAAGCCGGGATGGGTACGGTGGCTGCCTGCCCAGCTTTCCCATCCCGAACCCCCTTCCCACTGTGTCCCCAGAGCTCTGCAGCGTGCCCCCCGAGATCCTCTTCCCGGTGGCCAACGAGACGCTGGAGCTGGCCCTGGGGAGCTGGGTAGCCCTGAACTGCACCGTGCGCTGGGCAGCCACCGAGCACTGCCAGCCTGTCCCTGCCTGGAGCAAGGACGGGCAGTGGCTGGGCAGCGAGAGCAGCCAGGACACCACCTGGTAAGGACCCTGCCCTGGGACGTGTCCATCCATCCGTCCATCTATCTGTCTGCCATGGTGGGTCACTGCATGACCCAACCCATGGTGGCCCTATCTCCTCCCAGGTTTGGCCAAAATGCCTCAGAGCGGCTCCTCGCCAGCGTCCTGCAGCTCAACCTGACACAGGATGCCGATTTCGGGGTGTTTGCCTGCTGGGTCAGCAATGCCACGGCCACCTTCACCCTGCGGCGAGTGGGTAGGGACATGCTGGGGGCAGAGAAGGGACACCTCAGAGGAGGACCCGCTTGTGCGAACGGCAGCCCCGCGGGGATCATCGCTGCCTCTCCCAGGGCAGTGTATCACGGCCCAAACCTGCACCAAACCCAGAAAATGGGGGCCAGGAGGCACCGTCCCCACTCACCGTGCCCTTCCCTGTCCCTGCAGAGGCGGCAGGGCACGTGCCCGCGGTGCTGGCAGCCCTCCTGGTCCTGGCACTCCTGGTGCTCCTGGCCGGGCTCTACGTCCGATGCCGCCTGAGCATCCTCCTCTGGTACCGCAACCGCTACGGAGAGCTGGAGATCAACGGTGAGCCCCTGGGGAAGGGTAGAGAGGTGGTGCCCCACCTTGGGAAAAGCTCCCCTCCAACACAGAGCCCTCCCCGGTGTGACACCCCCCTCTCCCCATGGCTGTCCCCAGATGGGAAGCTGTACGATGCCTACGTCTCCCACGCCGCTGCCCCTGATGACCGAAAGTTTGTCCACTTCATCATGAAGCCGCAGCTAGAAAACCGCTACGGCTACAAGCTCTTCCTGGACGAGCAAACCATCCTGCCCAACTCAGGTAGGCACCAGCCCCACGGGCCCGGGCAGAGGGGTGACACCGGCACCCGGGGGCTTCAAATCCCTTTGCCTACAGAGCCCTCGGCCGACCTGATCATGAACGTGAGCCGGTGCCGGCGTCTCATCGTGGTCCTCTCCGTCGCATACCTGGAGCAAGACTGGTGCAACAGCAGCTTCAGGTAGGGGTGGCTCCTTCCTGCTCCCGGAAAGAGGAGCCGGCAGGTCATTCACCCTCCTGCCACCCTTCTGTCCCACAGGGAAGGGCTGTGGAGGCTGCTGGAGCTTTCCAAGAAGCCCATCTTCATCGTCTTCGAGAGCCAGTACCGGGAGATCACCCACCCTGCCATCAGCCTGCTGAAGCAGCACCGGAGCACCGTGACCTTGCTGGTGTGGCGAGCAGGCTCCATGGTGAGAGTTGAGCACCCCCATTTTTCTCCCTAGCGCCCCGGTTTGGGTCAGCCTCCCCATCACACCCCAGGGCTGTTCCCTGTGCCACAGTGCTCCTAAAGCGCAGCTGAGGGCACTCATCTCTTAGAGGCAATTTTTTAAAAAAACAACAGAAACAGCCCCAGATCTGGGTGCTCACTCCCCAAACGTGCACTATCAGGAGCCCCGTGCGACGCTGGGTTCTCCCCTGGCCAGGGTGAACCTGGGCTCCCAGAGCAAAGCTTTGGCTGGTGGCTGCCGTGGCCATTTCGGGGCCAGGCTGGGAGCTGGAGCCCCCGGGAGCGCTGCAGCCGGTTGGGCCGGTTTCTCCAGCGGCGCGTGGGCACGTTGCCACGCCAGGAGCACAGCCCTCGCCTTGGCTCAGCTCCCAGCACCAGGAAGAGTTTGCCGAGCCCCACGGAGCCTTCCCCAGCCCCACTGCGGGGCTGGGCTTGGCTTAGTGGTGGTCCTGACGTGGGTCGCCTCCTCCCTGCCCCACGCAGACCCCCTCGTCGGACTTCTGGAAGGAGCTGTGCCTGGCCCTGCCCCGCAAGGTGTCCTTCCAGGGGACCATGGGGGACCCGCAGACCCAGCTGCAGGAGGACAAGGACCCCATGCTGATCCTGCACAGCAGCTACCTGGACAGCGGTGGGGACCTCCACCCCGACGGGGACCTCGGCACAGGTCCTTGTCTCCTGCTGCTTCTCCTGGGGGGAACTGATGTGCCCAGGTCACCTCTGGGCTTTGCTTCGCCCTCCCGTGGCAGCCGGGCTGGGTTTAGCCCCTTCCCCACCACCAAACCCCCATCTCTCTGCTCCTTGCAGGCCTCCGGGGGTGTGTTTTCGGAAGCCCCCCGCCTCCCCGCATCGGTGGCCCTGGCACTCCCGTGGCTTCGGCTGCTGGCACGAGGGAGGACACGCAGCTGAGGGACAGCCAGAGGCCCGAGCTCGACATCTCCGACCTGGGGTCACGCAACTACGGCGCCCGCACGGACTTCTACTGCCTGGTGACAGAGGATGACATCTGAGGGGGGCATGGGACAGCAAAGGCAGGGTCCCCCTTTCCATGGGACTGCACAGACATGGATCACGGGCAGAGGAGCCTGGGCTTTAGGATGGGACCGAAGCACAGGTCTCGGAGGGAATGACAGGAGCTGGCTCCTCCTGGCAGCACGCTCTGTGGCGGAACACCATTCCCAGGGGATACCCCTGCCCCCAGAGCCTGGGCACCCATGGGTGCTGGGCTCCCCTCCCTCCCCATGGGCTGCAGGGACATTTTTCCTGCCTGATGGACCGGCGCTGGGATGGGTGATGTTCTCTGAGGAGCAGCGTGCCCCAGTCCCAGGGGCTGTGAAGTGCCCGAGGGGAGCGGCCGCAGCACCTTCTCTCCCAGGGAAAGTCCCGTGGCAATAAAACGCTGCTCGTCCCCGTGGGTCTGCTCCATCCGCGAGGACACGGGTGCCACCGCTGGGTCCTTCAGCAGGCACGGCCATGCTGTGTCCTGTCCCTGTGCCAGTGTCCCCAGCGCACTGAGTTGGAGCAATCCCAGCTGCAGCGAGGGGGTGACACCGTGGGGATGACACTCTGGGGGGATGGCACCTCTTCTCCCGCATGCTGGCTGAGCGCAGGGGCAAGCGGGCATCGTTCAAGGCCTTTATTTTGGGGATACTCAGGGCTCGGGGGGTTTGTACACGGAGAGGTGGGGGGACAAACGCACCATGACCCGCCAGCCCGGATCACGCCGGGTGCCAGCGCACCGGGGGGGCCATACCACGGCCCCTCCTGGCAGCGCCGCCCAGTCTCCCCCCACCAACACCCCCTGTACCTACTCTACCTCGCTTCCCACAGGGGCTGCGCGATGCCCCCCTAAGCGCAGGGTCTCCCCCCAGCCCCACACCCGCCGGCAGCCCAAAGCCACCCCACAGCCCACCCGTGCGCCCTGGCCTGGCCCCCGCTGCCATGGCAGGGAGAGCTTTGGACCCGCCACCCCACTGCACCGGGCACCCAGGGCATCTCCCCACCCGTGGGCAGATGCTGCCTGGCAGACACCGGCCACCTGGCCCTGCCCAAATCCCGCTGGCGCAGCACCGGCCAGGCCCAGCCCTCAGCAGAGCCCACGGCAAGGAGACGCAGGAGCAGCTCTGCCCGCACAGGGACAGTCCCTGCTGGGTGTAGGGATGGGGACAGAGGGGCTCAGACACCCCCCAGCTGCTGGCAGAGAGGGCAGGGGCAGTCTCAGAGACACCCCACCCACCCCTGACAAAGGGGGGACTTGGCACCACGTCACCAATGCCGCTTCCCAGCTCCTCAGGGCCGCGGGGCCACCCCATAAAAATGTGGGAAGCCACCTCAGACCTCCCACAGCCCCTCCACCCCCACCGAGCTCTGCAAAGCCCCATCCCCACCCAGCCCGGGCAGAGCGTGTGTAACCCACCGTGAGCCCCACACCGGCCCCCTCCCAGCCCCCGGGGTGCTGTGACTCGGGGGAGCCGGGATCGGGTGCTCCCAGAAGCCCCCCTCCCCACCAGCATTGCTCTGCAGGAGGCTCCTGCCCCTCTGCCAAGCCCTGGGACAGGCCGAGCTTCGCAGCAGCTCCCCAGGAGCGGGAAGCGTCCCCGGGGGCTGAGCACCCGCAGCCCCCTACTACTTGGAGTCCCTGCAGCAGAGCCAAAAGCAGACGCTGGGTTCAAGGCTGCGGCAGGAGGGAGGACAAGCGTCCCCCAGCCCGGGGCAGGGGGAGGTGGCAGAGGGGGGCAGGAGAGACACAGGGGGGACTACGCTACGGAGCAGCATCCCCAGGGCAGGGCCGGCAGCCAGGGGGCATCCCGGCGGGGAGAGGCAGGGCCGGGCAGTCCGTCGCCCAGGGATGTCCTCACAGGCTGAGGAAGTCCTCCTTCCGGTACCCCTTCTGCAAGGAGACAGGCCACCCGTCACACGCGGGGGACGCCAGCGCCATCACCTTTCCTGCCCACCCCTCGCTGGGAATGCGAACACAAACCCACTCTGCTCCTGCCCCAGCAGGGCCACACTGTCCCCACATCGGGCACGTGGCTGTCCCCACCCCACTGGTGCAGGTGCCACCACAGGGACAATGCTCTAGGGACATCCCCACCCCTCCAGGATTTGGGGCCTGTTCTATCCCTGGAAGCATTCGGGAGGTGTGGGAGAAGCCCCTGGCCCTGGCTCCCTTGGATCCACCCTCCCCTGGGATCTGTCCCAGCGTCCCTGCGGCTGGGGGAGGCACCGCAGGGTGGCACGTACCATCTTGAAGTCCCGGTGGAGCTTGTTGTATTGCCACATGTTGCCCAGGAGGCTGGCTGCCGCTCTGGAGGACTTCTCGTTGTCCGAGCTGGGGCAGAGACAGGATGCGATGAGCTTTGGATACGGGGGGTGCCCCTCAGCCCAAGGATGCCACCCCAGAGGGTCCCTGAGGGGCTGAGGACTCGGTGCTGGTGGGAAGAGGCAGAAGACTAAAGGGCAGGGGCAGGGTAGCACGTGCTGCTGGCAGGAGAGCTGAGCAGCACCCAGGCGGGAAGAAGGTGGCTGCACAGATGGGCTGGAACGATGGGCAACCCCATGGTGGGGTGTCCTAAGGAGGTGGCAAAGGGCTGGAAGGTGGCCATGAGACCACTCTGAGTGGAGACCCCTCTGAGTGGGTTTGGTGACTCCCAGCACCTGGGAGCTGGACCAGGGGAGGAAGGGGAGAGCAGGACAGGACCCCACGTCTGAGCTGGGACAGCAGAGGACACAGGGAGTTCCCACCTGTCCCTTCTCTTCTTGATGTAGAAGAGCTTCCTGAGGCCATCAAAGTAGACAATGTCGCGGGCGGCCATAGGGCTCTCCACCACCAGGTTGTTGAGGACTGCGATGATGTTCACGATGACGTCAGCAGGTGGTGACTTGTCCCCGACACTCCCCGGCAGCTTCTCGATCAAGTGGCTGACCACCTTGGTTGCTGGGGGGCAAAGGCATCACATCAGGGCTGGTGGCCAGACCCAGGGGACATGCATCACCCTGCAACCTCCCGGGGGGCAACCGAGGGCACAGAGGGTCCAACCAAGGAGCACCAAGGACATCTTCAAACCCTTTGTTCTCTGGAGTCTCTGCTGAGACTCCTGGGCACCTGGGAGAGGAGTTGGGGGACAAAGATGAAGCCAAGTGAGATGGTGGGGCTGCAGGGAGAGCACAATGTGTTGGGGGGGTGTTTGGTTACTGGGGAGGGGGAACGGACTGATCACCGCGTGCTCAGTGTGAGCAGGGCTGCAGCAGGCAGGACACTGCCGAGACACGGCTGGAGGTAAGCAGCGGGCAGAGCAAGGGGGAAGAGGGTGGAGAGGGTCCATGGGGCTCCCCCCCGCAGCCCCAGCACTCACACATCTCGTCCTTGTTGCGGGCATGGCGGGAGAGGTTGCGGATGAGCCCGGTGAGGGAGCGCAGCTGGTGGTGGTCAGCGGTGCGGACGCGGTCCAGCACGGGGTTGAGGATGCGCTCCTGCTCCAGGGCCAGCCGGCTCAGCACGCCCGCCCACTGCCGAGGAGACACCCCCTTGGAGGCACCTGCTGGGAACCCCCAGCTGCCTCCTCCTCCCACCCCACCTTCCTCCTCCTCCTCTTGCTCAACGGGGCCATGGGGTGACCCACGTCCAGGTGACAAGCAGCATGATGGCCACGTCCCCCACCCAGGAAAGGCTGGCACCCACCCGCAGGGAGGTGCATCCCCCTCCAGGCATGGCTGTGACCAGCCAGGCAGGGGGGACAACCAGGGGAGATGGGGGGAGCCCCAGGGGACGCCCCTCACCCTGCGGTCCCCGGCGGTGATGTTCTGCAGGGCGCCCGAGGCTGCCTCTGTCGTGTGCTTGTTGAGCTCGCAGCGCTGCAGCAGCCGGTTGTAGATGCCCACGATCTGTGGGTTCCAGAGCCACTCCATGCCCTTGGGGTCCTTGGAGACCTCCGTGAAGGTGACGATGTCTGCGTTCATGTAGTGCTGCGGGGACGGGAGGGTGGCACTGTTAGACTCGCAGGGGGTGTCCCCTCTGCAGCCTCCCTCACTGCTGGTGTCCCCCCTTTTCCCCAGCACGCCTGGCCCCAACCGCTGGGCAGCTCCAGGCTGGCAGTGGCTCAGCAGGTCACCCCGGCTGTGTCATGCCCCATAGGGTGGAAAAGTGGGGGTTCAGCACCCTGATTCACCCCCATGCCCCTGATTCACCCTCTGCTGAGCTCACCCGCGTGTCCCACCCAGCGTCCACCTCCGCCCCAGCGTCACCTCCACTGCCAGCTGCTTCCCAGTGCCAACCCCGCCTAGGCCACGCGGCCGTCACCGTGCCCCCCGCCTGTTGGCCACTGACCTCTCGTGCTTTCTTGCTCTGGGGGCTGAAGCAGCCCACCAGCTCCCCCGTCACTGTGCTGCTGTTGTTCCTCCTGTGGCCTTCCAGGCGCTGGAGGGAGGAGGGGGGCATTTCGTCGTACAGGCGGTAGGAGAGGTTGCGCAGGACACAGACGGCGTTCTCCACACTCTGTGGGGGGAGATGGGGCACAGGGGAGTCAGTCCTTGTGCCGCCTGCCAGGGCATCTCCAGCTGGCACATCCTCTGGAGCAGGATCCCATGGGGGTGGCCAGAGGCACCTCAATGCCACCAGTGCCACCCCACTATGCCCAGTAAGGTCAGATGGAGACAGGATGGTTTTCCAACCATCCCATCAAAACGTGCCTTTGCACCACAATGGCCAGGGGGCCAGCAGGAGGGAGGGAAGGAGCAGCACCTGCTCTCAGGGTTCCCAAACCCTGCCAGCCCCCAGCTCCAGGGGCTCACCTTGTCCTCGGACTTGCCCACTTCCAGGGAGCTGTTGACGTAGTGGATCATGGAGTCCACCAGTCCATGGCACTCGCGCATCTTCTGCCGGGTCTGCTGGCTGGCAGAGCTCAGGTTCCTGCACAGGGAAGGTGGGTCCATCATGGCAAGAAGGGGCTTCCCCCCAGCCACCTCCCTCCTGCCACCAGGCACCATGGTGGGGAGGGCAGACAATGCCTCTCTCCATGGGGTTGGCCAGGCTTTGCCTTGAGGCATGAGCGCTGCAAGGGACAGGGACCCCAGAAATGAGCCCTGGGGACTTTGCTCCCAATGTGTGCAGTACAGATGGTGTCTCTTCCCCCACTCAAACCTTTATGCACAGCAGGAGGGTCAGAGCAGGTACCTGAGGAATCCTGTGGAGTTGTAGAAGATCTCTGCCTCTGAGGGGTTCTGCTGGATGACACCCGAGCCCCCCAGCCCGGAGAGGGGGACCAGGACCAGGTCTGTGAGCTGCTCCAGTGTGTCCCGGGCCAGGCGATCCTTCAGGTTGTCACTAGAGGAGAGGTTCCACAGGATCCCTGCGCGGAGGGAGACCCTCAGTCCTGGGGGTGGCTGGAGAGCACGTCCACCCTGACCCACCTCCCTAGGGGTGGCTCATGCCAACCACCCACAGCCGTGGGACAGGGTGGGTGACAATGATGCAAAGAGGTCACCCCATGGAGTGCCACTCCAGCTTTACTCATGGGGTGGAGGCACCATGAGCCGCCCCAGAGGAAGTAGGACCCCTGCCCACCCCTGCCCCCATCCCCAACCTGTGACATTCTTGCGGAGCTCGTCATCGGGTTCCCGCAGCGTCCGCATGAGCTCGTAGATGCCGTTCTCCTCCACCAGCGCCAGCTTGTTCTCCACGTTGTCATAGATGAGGTTGCGCATGGCGCCGGTGGCATGGCGCTGCACCTCCTGGTTGGGGCTGTTGAACAGCTTCACCAGCTTGGGCATGGCCTGGAGGCTGCGGGCCTGGGAGAGGAGAGCCCGGCTGGGTTGAGAGGCCTGGCTGCTCCCCAGTTCAGCTGGGGGCTCCCTCCACCTCCTCCACCCTCCCAGGGGTGTCCCACCATGGCAGGGGGGCTGGGGACAACCCCTTCCCCTTTGGCTCCTGGGGCCTCACCTGCTTCTTGGCGTTGCTGTCGCTGTAGCACTTGTGCTGGAGGTAGGCAGCACCCAGGACCTGCAGGTTGGGGTCGCTGGCTATCAGGTATTTCACTGCAGAGGGCAGGTCGATGTCATCAAACCTGGAAGCCAGAGGCAGATGAGGAAGACCCCAGGCAGAGCATCCCACAGGGGTCCTCCACCTCTGCACCCACCATGTCCTGCATCTGAGAGGAGACCCACCAACCCATCTCCCTCCCCACCATGCTCTGGGGGCTCCCGACTCCAGACACAGCTGAAGGAGCATCTTCCTACCCTCGTGTCTCAGGATGTGCCAGGAGAGGAGCTAAACACACCGGACACACCTGGAGGTCAACCCCTGCCATGGTCCATCACTATGGACCCAAGCTGTGCCCACCACCTCATCCCTCCTCCTGCATCCCTTGCAGCAAGGTAACGCCAGGCAAGAGATGGAGAGTTTTGCCCTCCACCAGCCGAGTGACAGCGGGGGCACTCACCCCCCCGACTGGTGGCTGAGCAGCGTGCTGTGCCCGTTGTACATCTCCATGGAGCGCTGGTCCTGCAGGTGGTGGCTGGACTCGGCCAGGCTGCGCACAGAGGGGGCGCGGGAGCTGTGCTCCACCATCCCCAGGTAGGAGCCCCCCACGCCCACCTGCGAGGCCACCGGGACGCCGCCGAAGGAGCCGGTGCTCAGCCGGGAGCGGTTGTTGCTCTGGAAGCGCTGGAGGGTGCGCATGGCAGGAGCCCGGATGGTGCGGCTCTGGGTCACCTCGCCCCCCTCCAGCCACTCGGAGGCGGCCTTGGTGGCCGAGCCAGCGCTCATCTGCCTCTCAAACGTGTAGGAGCGAGCGAAGCCGCCGTTGCCTTGGCTTTTGTAGAGGGGACGGTGCCCCACGGGGTCCAGCTGTTCCGAGATGACGCTGTAGCGGTCGTCGGCCATGGCGGTGGGTGGGAGCGGCCCGTCGGTCAGCCGCAGGGAGCGCAGCGAGAGGGTGTCGAAGTTCTGCCGGGAGCGGTAGTTGCGCTCGTGGAAGGAGTTGGGCCGCGGCGAGGTGTTGGCCACCTGCGACATGGCGTATCCGGTGCCGTAGCCCCGGCCCTTCGCCAGGCCCCCGTTACTGATGGTCGCCATCCGCTTGTGCGGGGTGAGGTCCACCGCCGAGCGCGAGGACCAGCTGCTGCCCTTCAGCGTGCCAAAATCCTTCTTGGCCAGCGGCTGGTAGAGCTGCAGGGGGAAAGCGTGGGGTTCAGGTATGCCCACGGGTTTGTCCCCCCATCCCCTCCATCCCCACTACGGGGAGAGGAAAGGACAGAGCCAGCTGCCTCCCTTGGCACAACCAAAGCTCCAGCCTGCGGCTGGGTCTCTGCTGTCATCCCCAGCCGCCGTGGTGATGGGCACAGGGTGGGGGACAAACCCCCCCAGAACATACCGAGGCTTTGGCATCCAAGCCATTGCTCTGGGAGCGGGAGCTGAAGGAGGAGTGCAGGGTGGTGCCGTACTGACTGCCTGCGGGAAGGAGACAGAGAGGTCAACACGAGCACTGGGGGGGAAAGGGGTGGTCTGAGGGGCTGAAGATCCCCCCAACTCATCTCGAGGAACCTGCTTGGGGAGCTGCAGCAGCGCCGAGGGGGACGAGGGAGCAGGAGGAGGCTGCCTTCACCTGCCTGCCGGCAACGGGGAGCAGAAGTGGCGGCGGCAGTGCCGAGCAGCAGCCTCCCCGCCTTCCATTGCACCCCGACAGCTGGGGAGTAATTGCCACCTTGGCGGGGACATGGCGGCTTGGCCCAGTCCCCTCAGCCGCAGCCGGCTCGGCAGCCCAGGCATCCCCCCAAAACCAGTCCCAGCCCCACCACCCCGGGAACAGGTGCCCGGCAGGGCCCCGGCCACCCCCTGCACCCCACACCACCCTCCCGCCCTGCCACCACCCCGGGACAAGGAGGACGAGGACGCTGCCAGCCCCAGTGGTGACGGGAGCGTGACTCACACCCGCGCCCGGGCAGCCCCCGGGGTCCCGAGGGGGGTCTCTCCCCACCGCCACCAGGGTCCCCCAGCCCCTGGGATTGGGGGGCTCAGGGGGACCCCGCACCGGTGCTGGACAAAGCGGGAGGGCGTAGGCCGCGAGCGCAGACATTAAATGGAGGAGCTTGGAGCCCGGCCAGCGGCACCGCTCAAACGCCGGGGAGGGCCAGGGAGGGATCCGCCGGGGCAAGAAAAATCCCCTTACCCCAGCCCAAAGTGGGGTGCGGGAACCCCCCAACCCTCTATGCCAATCCCCCCAGGTGGGGAAACTGAGGCACAACCCCTGGGTGGGGTGCAGTGAGCCCAGGTTGGGGCCATGTCACCCCCTCCCTGGTGCTGGGGGTGCAGTGGGGGGCTCAGGGGGTTAGTCAGGGTTGGGGGGGCAACCCCCCAGCCCCACGCCATAGCCCAAGATGAAGCCCAGTGCCAGCCAAGGGGCTCCCACCACCACCTTCACCACGGTCACCCCGGGGGTTGCGGGGGATCTCCCACCTCTGCCGTCGGCGATGTCGGGGGGCTCGGGGCGGGCGGCCGCCTGCCCCCGCAGCATCATGCGGATGCGGACCTGCTCCTGGACGCGGGCGCTGCGCAGCCGCTGGGCCTCCTCCGCCTCTCGGCCCCTGCCGTCCAGCTGCCGGTCCGAGGGCAAGGCCAGCGAGCAGACGCCGGCCTCGGGCTGCAGGGCCGACAGCAAGAAAGTGTTATTCTCCTGCATGGTGGCAGCAGCCATGGCGGGGCACGGGCACGGGCCCGGGCTGGCCTGCGCAGGTGAGCGCGGCGGCTTCCTGGAGCCCAAGGGAGGCACCCGGCCCGCCCCGCCGCCGCCACGCCTCGGCGGGAAGGAGGGGGGACACACCGGGCCCCGCCAACACCCGCACCTCAGCGCCAAAGGTGGAGGCGCCCCGGGCGGCCTCGCGGGGACGAGGGCAGGGGATGGGACGTGGGGGGGTCGTACCTGTGACCCCAGTGGGGAGAGCCAGACCACCCCCCCTCAGGCAGCCCCACAAGTGAGCCCCAAACCTACACCTGGATGCTCTGGAGAGCACCCCTGCATGGCCCCACCGGCAAGCCCCAGACCCCCATGTTATCCCATGAGCAAGCCTCAGACCCCCAGTGGCCTCCCCATTGAGCCCCTGGACCCCCACATGGTCCTTCCAGCGAGCCCCAGACCCCCACATCGTCCCTCTGGCAAGCCCCAAGCCCCCTGTCCCAGGCAACCTGTCCCAGACCCTGATATGGCCTCCCTGGAAAGCCCCAGGCCCCCCGGCAAGCTCCCAAATCAGCCCCAGACCCGCACGTGGCCCCACCAGCAAGCCCCAGGTAGCCTCCCTGTTGACCCCAAGACCCATACATTTTCCTGCCAACAAGCCTAAGATGCCAGACAACCTGCCCTAGACCCCCAGGCAAGCTCCTCAGCCAGCCCCAGACCCCCACACAGCCTCCCGGGAGAGCCCCAGACCCCAGGAAGCCTCCCCATTGACCCCCAGACCCCGACATGGTCCTGCCAGGAAGCACCAGACCCCACATTGTCCCTCCAACAAGCCTAAGAACCCTGGGCAACCTCCCTGGAGAGTCCTAGACCACCACATGGCCTCCCAGGAGAGCCCTGGACCCCCAGACGAGCTTCTCAGCCAGTCCCGAACCCCCACATGCCCCCCCCACCTAGTGAGCCCCGGGCAGCCTCCTCAGAGAGCCCCAGACCCCGGGCCCCCCCTAGGAGAGCCCTGGACCCCGGGGCAGCCCCACCACTGATCCCAGACCCCCGGGCTGCCCACCACCATGGCCAGCAAACCCCTCCAGGGTGGGGGGCCAGCCTGCCGAGGGGCCAGAGTGGGGGCTGATTGGCAGTAATTACTGGCCGGGCCCTCCCTGCTTTGCTTTTCAAATCAGCTGGGGAATTAAAAAACAACAATAATAAAAAAAAAAAAGGGGCGGCTGAACGCCAGCAGGCCCAGCAGTAATGAACGCGGGGTGACTCAGCCGCTGCCACCCCACAGGTACTAATTAGGCTGGCCCCACCCGCCGAGCCGCCCCGGCCAACCCTGGGGTGGGGGATGCCACGTAACCCCCCCCCCAGCCCAGGGTGTGCTCAGGAACGTCTCCCCAGCTCCCCACGGTGCTGCTTCATGGCACTATCCCCCGGCCCCGACTCGCTGCCTGGTCTGCTCACTCCTGAACTGAGCTGTGTCCGGTCTCAGCCCGCCTGAGCCCTCCGGCTCTGCCCTGGTGCGTGGGCACAGGGTGTTTTGCCGCTCAGCCCCGACACAGCGCACCGGCCACAGAGTCCAGCGCCGGCGTTGGCCGTTTGAAGGTGAGCGTGGCGACGCGGCCACAGCTCCGCAGCCAGCCACGGCTCAGCGTCACCGCTGCCGACCCGCCTGGCAGCTGCCTTACGATCTTTGCCGGCCGGGGCTGACGCCACCCGGTGATGACAGGGACGGGCCGCTGAGGACAACGCCGGGGCTGGGCTGGGAGGGTGAAAAGGGCGGCCGTCCCCAGGAATGTGCCGCCGTCAGCAGGAGCAGCGGCTGATGCCAGGGCGGGGTGACGAGAGCTGCGGGCGAGCGTTTTGGGGTGACAGTCCCTGCTTCGATGGCCTCCCCAAACCCCAGCGGGCTGCAAACCCCGGTGCCACCATCACATCGTGCCTGGGGACTGATGCGGGGTGGGGGACACCCACCTCCCCATCTCAGGGTCCAGGGACTTCATGGGCTAACTGGGAGCCCCCCTTTGCTTAGGGTTCACACACCTTTGCTGACCCTTTCGGGGTACAGCACCCAGCGATAACCCCAAGGGCCCCCCCTCTTCTCCCACCTGGGCACCACCCCCATGGGGAGCGTCGGCGGGTGCACCGAGTTTGGCAGAGCTCAGCGGGGCGCTCCCAGCCCTCCGAGCCCGTATGAATCACGGGTTCCCCCCCGGGAGCAGGCGGGGAGGGCGGATCGCTCCCCGAGCAAGCTGACACTTGCCCGCCCTCCCTGTGCCAGGCACCGAGGGGCTTGGGGATGGCCCCGGGAGCCCCCCTGGGTGGGGGGGACACAGAGGGTGTCCCAGGGCTGTCCCCAAGCCCACCGGCAGCCCCGTTCCCCCAAGCTCTGCCTCCCTTCCAAGCCCCCGTCCCACAGACCTGACACTGCCCTGAAGCTTACAGATGGAAACTGAGGGGTCTTGGGGGGCTGCGGGGGGGCTGAGGCAGGTTTTAGGGCAAAACCACCAACGCTCACCTTCTCAAGTGGCTCGACGGGAGCAAGGATGCACTGGGATGCCTAAAAAGCAGCAAATCAGCACCAAAGATCCCCCACATTCAGAGCGAAACTGGGGGATTCCTGAGGGAATCCAGCCACGGTGAGGGTGACACGGGGTTAAACAAACCCGGTCTGGGGGTCCCCAAAGCGGTCACCGCCCCTCTCAGCCTGGAGGCACCTCATGCCTTCCTCTGCGGGGTGACAGAGCTACATCCCCAGGGAGACCCCACCTCCTGGGTGCTCCTTGTCCTCTCCCACCCCCCCGAGCACCACGGTCCCCACAACCAGGTCCCCGGGGGAGCCAGCGGCTGCGGGTGCCATCGGCACTTCACGTGGGGAGTGGCCGAGGCGGCACCGCGCAAGCCTGGCCACGGCACACGTGTGCCAAGAGCCATGCCGGGGAAACCGAGGGACAGGGCGAGGAGGGCAAGAGCCTCTTGGCCAACGCTGGCCAGGAGCAGGGACCTGACCCGCACCGCTCCTTCCCACCCAGGGCATGGGGATGGGTGGCACGGTGGGTGCCACCGGCGCTCCCCGGGGACAGCCACGGGACCGGCCGGCACGTACCTTGCTGGGTGGCCCCGGAGGGCCGTTGCCCTGCAGCATCCTCCCGGGCAGGCGGGTGCACCCCTGGGTGCTGTGCGGGCACCCCGGCACGGGTGGGCGATGCCGTCTGCGGCGGGGCCGGTGTGGCGGGCGTGGGGCTGCGGCGCGGGCCCGCCCCGGGACCTTACCCAACCAGTCTCTTTGCCGGTGTTTTGCATGTGCGCTCGAAACCCGCTGCCCTCCCAGCCAAGTTTGAGCTTTCGGGGCTCGTGGTGGCTCCACAAGAAGCCTGGGCATGGCTGAGGGGCCAGTGGGGTGGCCGGGGGTCCCGGATGCCCCATCCTGGCCAGTGGAGCCACCTCTCAGCCGCCTTCGTGATGCTCCAAAAAATCACCGTTGGTCCCCACCACCACCATGGCCGTGGTCCAACGTGTCCTTTCCACCGCATCCCCTTGAGCACCCCCCAGCATGGGGGACCCATGGGTTTTGGGGGCTACCAAGAGAAGATGGAGGGGAGGCAGAGCTGGGGTGGGGGGCACGGATTTTGGGGGGCGGGGGGCTCCCTCGGGGGTTCACAGGGAGCATATTTGTATGCGTGGGATGGAGCAGGAGCCCTTTGAAGCCAGATAAGCCGAGAGGGAGCGTTTGGAACGGGCCAAACCAGTTTGGGGGCCATCGTTTCCACCAGCACTGCAGCCCGGGGTTCCACACCGCACCCAGCGCTCGCCGGGGGCTGCCGAGAGGTGACCCCCCGGCAAAGCCCAGTATAGGGCAGGGGGACCCTCCATCTGGCCACTGCTGTCATGTTTGGCCCGTTCTCAACCTGAAGGCATTTGGGACGCTCCCTGCTCCCCCCCTTGCCCTCCACCGACCCCTTGCTCAGCCCTTTGGCTGGGACAGCCCCATAGCGAGGCCGCTGCAGGCTGGTGGTTGCCTCCACCTCCCCGAACAAGCCCCAACGCCTTGGCAGTGTCCCCCCGGGGCAGGGCGAGCCGCCCGGCCAGCGCCTCACCCCAGCACTGCGGCTGCTCCTGGAAAAGCGGGGACCTGCCTGCACCCCGCTGTCACCCCGGGCTCCAACGCTTGGCCTGGGAGAGGATCCCCGTGGTCCCCACGGTCCCCGTGGCTGCGGCTCAGCCACTGCAGCAGGAACCAAACCCTCCGGCGTTGTGGGGCTGGCCCTACCCCAAGCAGGCACCATCGGCTGGCTCCAAATCCTCCCCAGCGGGGCTGGACCAGTGTCCCCAGTGGGGATGGCACTGGTGAGACCGGTCCCTTCCAGCATCGGGCTCTGGATCCGGCCAAGCCCGGTGCCCGCTCCCGACAGCGGTGGCTTTGGGGAGATCTGCTGGCTGGGAAGCTGCTGGAAAAGCCGTGCCTAAGGAAAGGCAGCTTTAGGGATGCAGCTGCTGGCCCCGGAGGTGGCCACCAGCCCACGGGCCAACTCCCGGCGCAGAGCCCTCACCCACAACAAAGTGCCTCCAACGCGTTGGAAAAACCAGGCAGCGGGGCCAGGAGAGGAGCCAGCACAGAGAGAAAAACCCACTGCCCGCCCAGACTGACATTCCCCCTCCCAACCCCGGCAAATCCCGGGGCCAGAAGTGCCAAGTTTGGGATAAAAAGCCCCCCAGAGGTGCCGATGGTAGGTGTTTCCCCCACGGCAAGCAGGTTGCTGAGCCCACCACCTCCATCCTCACCCCAAAACTCAGGGGAGAGGTGAAATCACCCTGGAGTCTGTCCCCACCACCCCACCAAGGGCTTTATTCCCCACCCACATCCCCCCCCCGTAATAAAGCCCTTGGTGGAGTCGGGGGGAAACTCCAGAGTGATTTCATCTCTCCCAGGGGTTCTCCAGCCCCGGAGGTGCTGCCTGCGGCCGGGCACGTCCTCGTGCACAGGGAAGGGGGTGAGCAAAGGGCTCAGGGCAGACATGTCCATCCTCGACAC